TCTCAGCGCCCAATATGAACTTCACATTGTCCGCTTATTATCAGCCATGTTTCAATATGTGGAATGACCAATCTTGCATCTATATATCCGTCTTTTGGACATTACCATGCTATTATATGAACCATGTCGTCGTTCGCTAATTGGCAGATAAATCCATCTGCAAATCTACCACACTGCTTTCTGTTTTCAAACTTGCTTTCTTGCACCAGCGGCAACGCGCGGGGTTTTCTGTTAGTTACTTTGGATTTGGGTGAGGACTGGAGACTCGGTGGGCTTGGACGAGTCAGGCCCAAGAGAAAAATAATTAATAAAGAATAATTGGCTAGGTGGGCTGCTTTAAGATTCGTGTAATTTTTAGAAGGAGAAGTATTGGAGCAGTTCCCAACAAGTATATATATGGTCATGGTCTGCGAGATATTCATTCAGTAATTAGCAGTCTGTCAGTGGTGTTTTTACACATTTTCTTTGAACAATTTGGTACCGTTACAGTAACTTGTTAGCAACCATGAGTCTGCAGCACAGTAACTAGCATCTGGTTACAGGCGCCGCAACTGGTTGTAGTGGATCAGTGACTCAGTGAGGGGCCAGAAGTGGGCCAAAACTGATGGGGATTAGGTGCGCAAACGGCCTTTTGACGCACCCTCAACCTCTCTTATAACTTTCAAAAAAAAAAACTATTGAACCAGCGTTCAACCGGTTTCTCATGGCCGAATGAGTAAACCATTGAAAAAAGACCGCCGCCGGTTTGATGACCGTTCCCGGTCCTAATAACTATGATCGAGACTAGACCCAAGGAAAACGGGTTTGATCTTCCTTATTTTCTTTTTGACTTTTTTTTGTCTCATGAGACTTTTGTACATGTATTTAGACACTAGTATTATTAATAAAATTCCAGTAGGAGGTCAAACCCTCCTTTTTTCTCGAATACACAAAAGATTTGCGCATCATTTTATTAAGAAGAAGAGTTTAAACAAACATACAACGCGCTTGTATCGAGCGCCGAAGGAGGTCGACCTAATACAGCCGAAACTGGACCATCCTAGCAAAAGAATTCATGTTTTGATATTACATAAAAGGAAACAACCAATATCGACGCAGTTTTGTGATCTAAAGGTGGCCTTGCGTCTTCGCAGCTGCCTGGATGGTGCTTTTCCAATGGCCAGGAAGAGCTCGTCCAGCACCTCGGCTTCGGACGCAGTTAGGTTGCCGTCAAAGAGCCTGTCAAAGGTCTCCAACTCCGAAGCGGACGACGCAGATGGACCCTTGGTGTAGCTCATACGCTGCATGATCAACACCTCACCTCGCTTGGAAGCTGGCACTCGAGAGAGGCTCTAAGCCGCCAACCGCCTACTCCGCCAAGGCAGTACCGGCTTAGTAGGAGGTTGCTTGGGAGGCTCGCGAATCAGCGGAGAGTCCCTCTTACGCGTGACATTGCTGATGAAGTTGTCGAGGCGTCGTTTGGCGGAGTCGTCGTTTGTCCACCTCCTGGTGGGTAAACCCCGGTGGTGAACTGGGAGGGCCATCCACCATGAGGTTGAGTGTGTGTGTCGTTGGCGAGTCCACCACCCACTGAATGGGGCGTGGCGGTGGTGTTCGCAGCTCACCGGAGACCACCGCCGGGTCCCTATCCTCCAGCTGGGGGGCTGCCACTGTCGGGGCCATAGCCGAAAGCTAGGGGGTCGCTGAAGTTGACGGGAGGCACTCAAAAGAAGGCCACGTGCCGATCGAACTACCGATGAGCGAGGCTGCGAACTCCTCAACCATCGGGTCCTCTGAGATGTCGCGATCATGCGTGGCGCCCGGGTACCGCGTGAGCGCCAACGGGTCGGGCACAACGATGCCCGTCGCATTAGTCGGCCCACCGTGCCATGCCTGAGCACCAACGGCGACCGAGGTGAAGTCCGATGTCGCTTGGGTGGCCCCTATCGACCGACCGTGACTGTCGATGGCGACACTCGTTGCCGCAGCGGTGTCGTCCCCCTTCTGTCGGCGTCGATGTCTCCGACGTCTCCGTCGTCTGCGCCCATCGTCGACATGCGTAGTTGCACCTGGCACAGCTGTAGCTGCACTCGGCATAGCTCCAGCCACGCTCGACGTGCCGCCCTGGGTACGCGGCCGATTGCCAAGGTACGCTCTCGGACAAGGCGTCGTTGCCGGCCTTCTGGGGCATATACTGTGCCGGAGCTGGAAGGAGGAACCTCCGCCGCTGCTTACAGTCCCGCGCGAGGTGTCAGAACCGCTTGCATCGGAGGCAGCATGGGGGCAGCTTGCAGGTTGCCACCCTATGCGCGGTGGAGAGACAGTTAAAGCACTTCCCGTGCAGATCCGCCAGATAGTGGGTAGGGGGCCGCTGGTTCGCCGATGCAGTGCGGGCGGGGCAAGCCCCTCTGGCACCGCTTAACGACCCCTACGACAAGACCTCACACCAGCCGTCGCCGTCCTGAGCGGAGATGCGCGGAGCCCCGTCCATGACGACCGATGCATTGCCGGGTGGGGACGCGTCCATCCACAGGCTGAGCGGACAGGCCGTGCACCAGCTGGGGGCGCGGCCGTGGCCGGCGAGTCCTGCAGTTGCGCCGCCCGTTTACAGCGCCAGCACCAGTAGCACTATTGTGCGCGCCTCCTGCGACGTTGGCTAGCCGGGCTCCCTCAGCCATGGGGCGTCTACCCCGCTCAGCAGCAGCATTGCCGCGAGAGCCTCCGACGATGAGGCGTGGCTTGGCACGCTCCAGCAAAGGCGACGTCCAGAGCTGCGACCCCTGGCGAACTACGTCAAGGTAGGAGGTTGGGGAGCTGACCGGTGACCTCTCCGTGTTGGAGTCGTCAAGGTCCTCATCCGCCCAACGACGAGCCTTTGAATGCCCCATCGAGCCGTCCCTAGGGTGGAAGGGGGAGGTGAGGGGGGACAGAGGGGACGACGGTCTAGGCACGGAGGGGTGGACGAGGAAGATGTTGAGCCCCGATGCCAGAGTAGGCCGCTGCGGTGAGCTGGGTGTCGAGGCGTCCTCATCATCCCAGGCGTCCTCGACGAGGACCAGCGACCCGTCCTCCATCAGCGGTGACTCGGGCTAGGCGGCGGCTTCCTCTGGTGACGTTGGCAACGGCGCGGGCTCCCCGCGAACGACCGAGATGCCCGCACCCAGCCCAGCAGCCACAGCGCATTTGCTGGCCGCGGTGTTGATGGCCACGGCAGCAGCAGCCTCAAGCGGCGTCGAAGTGGTGGAAAGGGTGGGCCCTTAGCTGCCGGCGACCCAGCGCCCATGGCCGACGGATCTCGGACGGTGCCGACGCGGTCAAAGCCCCCGGAGCGGTAGGAGGAAGCGGGGTCTAGCAGCTACGGCGCACCAGGAGGCGGTGTTGCGACGGTGGGCCACGCGGGCCCAGATCCACGCCCATCTAGCCAACCCTGCGCCGGTGTACGAGGCGGGTGGGGGACCGGCGCTCCTAGTGTCGCTGAGGGCGACGCGGGCCCCTTTGTTGCCGACGGCGGCGGGGCAGGGGTCGGGGAGTGAGAGGGCGCCGCCGGCGGTGGAGAGGCCGCCGGATGCGGAGGAGGTGGGCGGGGAGCCGGGCTCCCCTGCACGCGACTCCCGTGCGGGCGAGGAGGAAGGGAGGGGGAGGCGCATAGGGGAGGGGACGGTGGCGGGGAGGGGGAGGGCGCCGGCGACGCCCCAAAGCTAGGGTTGGGAAAGCCCCCTACCCAAATCTCTCTCGTTTCATATAAAAAAAGATGGATTGAGAAATCAACTTTGTATAAGTCCATCGTGATAACGTGATTGCAGAGGTTAAAGAACTGCATCGAAACTAAGGTGTTTTCATTATGCTTGTATACGCTGTCTCCGGGCAAAAACAAATATATGGTCCCCAAGATATTCATTCAGCAATTAGGCGTTTGTCAGTAATGTTTTTTTTTCGCATTTTCTTTGAAAAATCTTGTACCCTGTTACAGAATTTTGTTAGGGCTATGTTTGAAACTCGGGAATTTTTTTCTTGTTCTTGGTTTTTCCTAGAAAATTGAACTAATTTTATCAAATTCTTGCAATTCCTTTGAAATCCGTGCATTCCAAACAGGCGCTACTCAGGTGGGCCAAAATTGATGGATGGGGACAGGGATTTGATCTGCAAACGGCTGTGTGGGCTGAAACCCTTATCAGAATGGCACAAAATTTTTTAAAGGACGGTAATAGTTTTGCCGCAAATTTTTTTAGGCAAAGAAAGAAAAAAAAAGATAGTGCTAGGTCAGTTTTTTAAATGGAAGTCGGACAAAATGCCACACAACTAAGGAGAATGCCCTACTCATCTGCAGAACTTTGGTACAATGACCGAACAACTAAAAACTTCACACCACTAGTTGCTCCAACTTGGTCGAAACACTCAAACCGGACACCAACTAACCACTCAACCGCAAAGAAACCGACAACTAATGCAACTAAAAAAGTCGTTAACTCAAGCAACTAGCTCTTAGAGAACCTGCAATGGTATAAATCAGTTACCGCTCCAAGCCAACCTCTCCAATAATGCTGGCTTTTAGCTTACTCATAGTATGATTAGACCCACGTGACCCTCTCACATGACCTTGTAATACGTGTATGAGCCTAGTTTTTGATCAAATATTAGTTTCTCTCTCTCCTATATTAAAATATAAAAAAAATTAATTAGAACTAGCTTATGAGTCAGCTGCGGCTGCCCTAGTAAACGCTAGAGCACAACTTAAAAAGAAAAAACGCTGCTTCGACGTGTAATACTAATACATCGCAGCAGGCCGAGCCGACGCTTCTAGCGCCAAGCGCTCGACGCGTGTGCAGCGGAAATCCGCTCGGGCGATCCATTGGCGAGCACGCGTGGATCCCCTCCGATTCGAATCTGGCCTGCTGATTGGACATTCGCCCGAAGCGTCTGTCAACGTCGAGACTGTCCCCCCGCCTTGTATTGATCCCCACATCGCTCGCTCCCCAATCGCATCGAATCGACCGACAGCGGAAGAGGGCGCGGGGGAATCGATGGAGTCGACGCCGACGGCGCCCGCCCGCTGCGAGATCGCGCGCCTGCCGGATGACCTCCTGTCGGCGACGCTCGCGCGGACCGGGCCGCGGGACGCCTGCCGCGCCGCTGTGGTCTCGCCGGCCTTTCGCGCCGCGGCCGACGCCGACGCCGTCTGGTCCAGCCTCCTGCCGCGCCACCTGCCCCCGCTCGCCAACGGGGAGCTCCCCGCCGATCCGCTGCCCACCAAGAAGCAGCTCTTCATGCGACTCTCCGACCCCGGCAGCCCCGTCCTCCTCGCCGACCGCCTCACGGTAATCGCCAATCGGACTCCGCTCCTGTTTACGTCTTAATAAGTACTGTAGCTCTGTAAGGTGTTCGGTCGGTGGACTTGATTGATCGGTTGTTATGGTGCCGTTGCAGAGCATGTGGTTGGACAGGGCGACCGGCGCCAGGTGCTACATGCTGTCCGCCAGGAAGCTGGGCATTGCTTGGGGCGATACGCCGCAGTACTGGCGCTGGATCCCCATCAACCTCTACAGGTTTGCATGCTATATATCTCTCTCACAATTCACATGTATGTCGCTTTCCATTTCTGAAATTCTGAAACGCACTGTCAGTCGCTCACAAATCACATGTAGTATGTCAGCTTTCCATTTCTGAAATTCTGAAACGCGCTGTCAGTAGGCTTTTAGTTCGCTAGTGCTCCCTTCAGTGTTAAGTGCTTGCCCTTTTTTTTTCAAATTTGCATGGAGAGAGAGCATGGGGCATGGCCATGTACTTCTGTAGTTCTGCTAAGTTGGTGTTGCTGAACTGCACTGTCCACGCTTTTGTTCCAGCCAATACTTTTTGGATAATTGCTTTGGTTGATACAAATTAAGGTAGTTGAAGAAGCTTGGCTTATGCCATTCCATAGAAGAATCACTTGTTTGCATCCACGGCTTTAGCCAACAAAGATGTTGTTGCTAATAATCTGTAACAGAATCTCGGAAGCTGCTGAACTCCGGCATGTCTGGTGGCTGGAAATACGCGGCGAGATTGACAGCAAGATGCTCTCCCGGCACACAACATATAGCGCTTACATCGTGTTCAGTCTAGCTCAGAGGCGCCTCGGGCTTTATTACACATGCAAGGAGGCGTCCGTCAGCCTCGGAGGAAGCAGCAGGTCGACGCGCCGCGTCTGCCTCGACGTTGGCCACAACCGCGCGGATACATGGCCGTCGTTGCGCGGTGACCTTCCTGAAGACACACTCTTCCCTCGAGTGAGAGGTGATGGCTGGATGGAGGTGGAGGTGGGCGAGTTCTGTAGCGGGGAAGGCGACGATGGTGAGGTTTCCATCAGCCTTATGGAGACGTCAGTCATTAAGAGTGGCCTTGTTGTCCTGGGCATTGAGATTAGACCCAAGGAACAAGGGGTTTGATGAGAACTTTGTTTGTGCGAGTAAATAATGGATTGAGAAATCAACTATGTAAAGTCGTTATTATTTGCAGCGGTGTGGAGCTAGCTGATCACATGATTGTCGAGGTTAAGAACTACTAGTACACCAGAACTAAGGTGTTTCTATTATGTTTGTCTACGCTTTGTCTCGCCGCCAAAACAAATGTAAATAGTCATGGTCTGCGAGATATTCATTGAGCAATTAGCCGTTTGCCGTTGATGTTTTTACACATTTTCTTTCAACAATGTGTAGCGTTGCAGTAACTTGTTAGCAACCAATGCGTCCGCAGCACAATAATTAGCATATGCTTACAGGCGCCGCTCACTGGATGCAGTCGATAATTTTTTATTTATTTTTAACATTTTTTAAACTAATTTTAAATCTAGCACTGTTTGTTTTTATTTTTCAAAACTAACACTTTTGGCCGAGCCTATTGCCATGGAAACGTCTGTGCCACGCCGTGGCACGGCGGGAGGATGACATGGCGACGACCGGAGTTGTTGACCGGTGACGTGGCAGGGTCTGCCGCGTCACCGATCTTGGCGCGGCAGTGACGCGCCATAGCCCACGGCGCGGCAAGACCAGATAAATAACGCCTCATGAGTCGCCCTCCCCCCGCTTTGCTCATGAAGCCGCCTCCCTCTCCCCGCCCACGCCACCAAAGACTTTTGCCGCCGACGCCAAGGCTTTGCCAAGCGCCACGCACGCCGGCGCGACACGGATGCCCTCACTGCAGTTCAACCCTCGCTGAGGTAAAATTGGGTGCCTATTTCTTCATAATCAAAACCCCCGTACCTTCACTACCCCTTTATATTAATCGTTAGCCATTAGATTGAGAGATTCTTTTAAAATATACTTTAGTCGTTAATTTATCTTACATTGTATTATTATTTATATACTTTAATTGTTAATTTTCTTACAATGTATTATTAATTATAGCGAAAACAAATGTCTAATTAAAAGACACGTGAAATATAAATTTATTTATGTGTTTTTTGTGCACTAGACATATATATATATATCGATAAATTTGGTTGGTTGAGTTTTTATGATTTAAATTGTTATATGCTTGTTTTCTTACATTGAAATATTAATCAAAATGATCATTTTACTCAAGCATATATTGAGAGCACTATAACCTCCAAAATCATGCACAACATCGTCGATATCGTTCTGCTACGAGTCTATCGTAGCATTGTGCGAAAAAAGTAGACAGCTTATATTTTTAGACATATTAGCATAGAGTATAGGACTAAGTATGACACACATGATAGTTCTCAATCAATTCATCTTATACTGAGCTACTCATCCCTAGGTTAAAATTATAATGAGCTGCTCTAGCAGATGTAGACAAGCTATTGTAATAATTTAATAAGAAACACTGGTGGACAGCAGGTCCTTACATAAAAGTTGCTTATTTTACTAGTGAAGTTGTTTAATATGTCTGTTAATCTTACTTTGAATATATACATGTGCTTTCATATTGCGTTCGTATTGCATAACAAGTAGTTCAAATTTTGCAATGCTATAAAATGTTAATTTGAATATTGTTAATTTGAATACTCTAACCTTTTGTTTATCAATTTGTAACAGGATGGTCTCTCCTACGCAGCACCCGCTGTATCTCCTTCTTGAGGTGGAATACGACGACCAGCACCGAGCACATATCTTGAGTGACATCGACGCAGAGGTGACCTTGCCTCCTTTGAGGCTCCACACGCACACCAGGGCGCACCAGTGGGACGAGCGTTATGTGTCGTACATACGGCGTGCCGGCTTCCTCGAGCTTGTCCGTGTTGTCAACTATGGTCTTCCGCCTCTTGACCCAGCACTACTTACTGCAGTTGTAGACAGGTGCAAGTGTCTTCTTTGTACGTAAACATTCTTATAACAAATTTAAGGCAACTAACAGTCGTTCTATTCTTATAACAGGTGGAGGCCTAAGACCCACATGTTCCACCTACCTTGCGGTGAGATGACCTTGACCATGCAGGACATGAAGGCTATCTTTGGCCTTCGGTTGGGGGACTTCCAGTGAAAGGTATAGTTGACAACAATCACTGGAGGGAGCTGGCGGCTTAGTTCACTAGCTTTCTTCTACCGGACGATGAGGTTTCTAAGAAAAATAAGTGAGCAATTCAAGCCTATTTAATGCTTGCATTGCTTTCCTGCAGCCATCGAGTCTTATTTTCTTTGGTGAATTTTAGGAAAAGTTCCAGTGTTTTGTCGTCCTGGATCACAGAGCGCTTTGATTACTTGGACCCACAGGCTGATGAGGCTTAGATCGACAGGTTCGCTAGAGTGTGGCTCTGACACTTCCTTGGTGCTTTCCTCTTCCCAGATGCCTCGGACAACACCATCAGCTGGATCTTTCTTAACATACTACGCTAGCCGTGGGAGAACATAGCGGCGTACAGCTGGGGCAGCGCAGTCCTAGCATGGACGTATCGACAGCTATGCGTTGCCTGCCATCGCACCTTAGGGTATGCGAACCTTGGGGTTGCTCCTACCTACTCCAAATTTCGTGTTGGAAACGATAGCCTGTTGGGAGACCCCTTAATACTGGTTTACCGGTAAGTATTTCGATTCACTATATTCTTCGAGACAGTTACATATGATTAAATTATTAATGGCTAATTCATTATCGTGTTTAATGCAGCATTGGAATGGGCATGATACACTCTCTATAGCTCTATATATCTGGACGGAAGCAGAGTTAGTTAGAGGGAATGCGAGGCGCAAGTATAGGGAGTACACGGACGGTCTCGACGTCCTGACACAGCACCAGGTTACGCTCTCTTTACTATCATACATGTGTCTTGTTCGATGTACACTATATCATAAGCTAACTCAATTATGAAATATTCAGGTGCATTGGTGTCCTTGGGATGCTCCGAAGCTCGAGTACTATCTCAGTCCTGTCACTAGGGATGAGTCAGATGAGTATCGCTGCAACGTCCCTTTTATTTTCTTCCACGTGGTCGAAATTCACTTGCCCATCAGGATTTGCAGGCAGTTTGGAAGAACGACAGGCTACCCACCACCACTTTACTCCACCAATTAAGAATTGCACGGGTGCGTTATCGATTAATAATAAAGCTACAATTCAGAGGTGTGGTACAACTAACATCATTTTGTTACAGGTATGACCGCAGGAAGAGGTACAAGACCAAGGATTGGCGCGTGACACACAACGCGTACATCCACTTGTAGCAGAACAGGGAACAGCAGTTGGTCCATGCGGGTCCCCCACACGACCATCACACCTTCGACGAGTACTTGCGGTAGCTTCACAGGTCTATGAGGACACATATCAAGCCCCCGTACACTAAGGAGGCGATTGACGACGACTCAGAGGAAGATGTGATCGAAGATGTGTACGACGTTGCCACTAGGGACGACACACAACTACAGAGAGCCTCGCTTCAAAGATACATGGTAAGATACTCAAATGATACAATTTGTTATTCATTTGGTATTAAGTATATGTACTAAAACTGTCCAACCGTGTTTCTGTACCCAAGCAACACAATTGTCAATGATGTCCAACGAAGCAACGTTCCGGCTTCACGAGTCTAGAGGGCAGGGGGCAGACGTTCTCAAGGCTTTTGTGGAGGTAAACATAAACTTGTTCGTTCCGAAAATGTTTCTTTAGTGTATATGCATTTGAGAAATGCACTAACTTTAACGTCTATTAATGCAGAAGGTGAAGCGGAGCTGCAGAAAGCTAGCTCAGAAGCTGAGCTGCATGGACACTCCTTGAGTGGAACCGACAGTTCTGGCGCAGTTGGGTGGCACGTCTTCTGGCTCTTTGAGGACACCAGACGACTCTTCTTAGCCGGTGACAGGTGCCACTTTCGCAGTGCGTACACCACCACATCATAGCGCTAGGAAGGACCCTGCAAACGAGGACGAGGACGACCCCCCGGGCTTCCGCAGACAGCACCACCAGTGGGACGATTGGCCGTAGGATGAGATTGGCATGCCTCAGCTAGGTGGTGCCCCGCTTGGTACCCAAGGAGCCTCATAGGTAGTAACAAAGGTAGTTTCTTTAAATACGTAGGCTCCATGAACTAACGATCATAAAGATTATAAGTAATTGTGCATATCATATACTTGCAGGGCACGAGCCGTACGCACCGGCAACACGACCATACCGACGTTGGCTACACTCTCAATGTGTTGCCAACAAATCCGAAGAGACAGAGGCGTCCGAGGGATCCTTACACTCCTGGGTCTTAGTTTGTTAAGTCGAACGAATATTGTCGTCCGAAACTTATAGGCTTAGTTGGTTATGTTATGTCGAACTTATGTCGAACCAATAAAAATATTATGTGGTAGCTTATCAACTTGCGCACGGACTTCATTTATTTGCTTCTTATGTTTCAATGCGTCGCGACAGCACTGCCAACGAGATTAACTAGCAACTAGTTCGGGAACCGGCAGTCCCGACATATCTCGCAGCCGGTGGCCGGTGTCTTGACCCCGATCCTCCCGAGCTTGGTCATCGCCGCCACGAAATGGCCGAAGAAGGCACCCTGGTTGGACGCGCAGTAGTCGACCGTGTTGTGCGACCTCATGTTGGACTAGAGCACCTGCTCGGAGCCCACCAGCGAGGGGTCGAGGAAGGCGAAGGCGTTGGGGTCGGAGCTGCAGGTGCCGTTCAGCTGCGACGCGAAGCCGGGGTCCATGGTCGCGTCGCTGCCGATCCTCACCGACAGCAGGCGATCTTCTGTCTGTGTCCAGGTCCTGCCGCGCCGTGGTCTATGGCGCGGCTGACCCTGCCACGTCACCGGTCAGCAGCCCCAGTCGTCGCCACGTCATCCTCCCGCCGCGCCACCATACATGGCGCGACACAGACGTTTCGCCGCGCCATGGCAATAGGCGCGGCCAAAAGGGTTAGTTTTGAAAAAAAAAACAGTGTTAGATTTAAAATTAGTTTATAAAAAGTGTTAAAAAAAATCACAGTCGATCAATGACTCGGTGAGGGGCAGTGAGGGGCCGGAGCCCGGAAGTGGGCTGAAACTGATGGGGATTTGGTGAGCAAAAGGCCTTTTGACCCCTTAATTTTTATTGTCCGATTTAAATACATCTCCCCTCCATAGCCATTTGTAAAACCGGTTTTTCTTACCTCTTTTAAATTTTAAAATTATCTGTTTTCAACCCAAAATGGTTTTGATGATTATTTTTGCCGACGTGACGCCACATCAGCCGTCCTATGTGGGTCACATTAATTAAGACAGAGATGAATCAGACTACGCTGATAGTTCAAGGGCTAAATCAGACTATTTTTTTGTCAAGAAAATATTTAAAAAAAGTTATACTCTCGTTATCATTCTGATTAGTTTATGTTGACGACCATGTGAATTTGAGGACAACACAAACATCATGTAACCACATCGTAGTTAAAACTCCTTTCGTTCTAAATTATAAGATCTTTTCACTTTTTTTAGATACATTGCTTTACTATATATCTGGAGTTTATATCTAAGTACATAGTAAAATATCTGAAAAAGTCAAAACATCTTATAATTTAAAATGGATGGAGTACTATTTAGTATGAACATAAGTGTCAACTCACTCGGTCATGTTTGTGTCACTTGATCCTAACTGTAAAAATATCATGTCCCATGTAGATTTTCCTGATGCACTGCGTTCTATAATTTCTTGTATTAAAGCTTACTAAATTCAATAGCTTGTAAAAATTTATCAAATATATGTAATGCAGGGTGCATACATGCATATGTGCAACAAGGTGCATGTAGCTACGCAAGCTAACACATGTACTTTGAAATTTATTAAGGACAAGGACTAGCACACACTATGGTCCTAGTCCTAACGATGCTCTACTGACGAGTTCTACCTAGTCTGGACAAGATCTCCGAGATCTCCACGAGGCGACCTTGGAGCTTTCCGGAGTTGTCTGCCGTGCAGATCTAAGAACCGAAGATGAAAGTTGATCCCGCCAGAAAAACCATGGTGATGTCGAGGTCCATCGAGCTCTCAAATACAAATTCACCGAAAGCCCCTACCTGAGCGGGGCAACTGTTTGTGTTTTATGACCGGCAACACGTTACGAGGTTACCCAGAATGGTGATTGATGGGCTTCGGCGTATGCAGAACTTGACGATGAACGCGAAGACAATGATTTATATTGGTTCAGCCGCTAAATAATGTAATACCTTATGTCCAATTCGACATGATGCCTTTGCATTGGATTCGTTTGTATGATTGTGTGTACCAAGAGGTGTGCTCCTATCTCTCTTTATATAGTCCAGAGGGCAGGGCACATTGGTCTAGTTCTAGTCGGTTACGATAGAAAAATTCAGAGAAATCTAACTTTCATAGTAATCTGACTAGGTCAGCCTTTCATGTCTTGGAGTACATGCCACCTTGCTATGTGTCCTCAAGCAGACTGTGAGCTAGCCCAAGCCCATAGCGGGTAGTCGGCCTATGGGGAACCCTTAGAATCCTGGTCCATCAGTATAGTAGGTAACGAGAGCTTCTATTAGCAAATAAATGATAAAATAAGCCCATCAGGATTCAAATAATTTCGAGCTGGAGATATAAGATAGAGCATGATTATAGACAAAAAAAAACTTGAAATTGTTTTGTAATTTTCTAAGTGAAAATAAAAATTTCTATGAAATTTATAAGATTATAAATCATATTTTAATTGCTTTTTTCCATGTAAAAACTATTTGGATAAATTTTAATGAATTTTAATGATTTTTAGATATTTTATGTTGAAAAAAACATAGCCAAATTTATCCTCTTGAACTATAAGCATAGTTTGATTTATCCTTTTTAGCTGATGTGGTGTTATGTAGGACAGTTGACGTGGCTTCACGTTAGAAAAAACAGTATCAAAATTATTTAGGGCCCGTTCGTTTCCTCGAATCACCGCCAGAACGATTCCTTGCCGGAATCGTTAGTTTATTTATATAAGATTTCATCAGCGAGAATGAATCCCGTTGTCAAACTACCCCAAATGAACGAGCCCTTAAGGTGAAAAACAAACGGTTTTCAAATTTCAGAGATAAGAACAGGTTTTATATAATTGAGAGAGATAAACTGAACGAGCGCGAAAGTTTTAGGGCTTCGAAAGGACTCGTACCGTCGCGTATAGTCGTACCATAACGGCACAAACTGAGCCCGTCTACGGCCCGCGACGGCCCCTTTCCTCGGCAAATCCGAAAATTGGCAGCAAATCTGCGGTCACCGTCAACCACCGACCATCGGGTCGTCTCCTATTTGGAATCTGGCTGCTGCCGTATAAAGGTTTATATCGAATTCCTTCGCCATGCGCCCTTGCTCAAAGCTTAGCCCCGAAGCGTCCTCGTCCTCTTCCACCACCACCCCACCAGGCCACCAGCCCACCTATATTAGTAAAATCCGTGTTCCATTCCATGAGCTGTAGCCCTGTTCTGCGTTGATCATCCCCACACATCAGCTTACGGCTCACCCCAATCGCATCTAATCCACAGAGAGCAGAAAGAGGCGCGGGGGGAACCGACGATGGAGTCGACGGCGCCAGCCCGCTGCGAGATCGCGCGCCTGCCGGATGACCTCCTGTCGGCGACGCTCGCTCGGACCGCGCCGCGGGACGCCTGCCGCGCCGCCGCGGTCTCTCCGGCGTTTCGCGCCGCGGCTGATGCCGACGCCGTCTGGTCCCGCCTGCTGCCGCGCGACCTGCCCCCGCTCGCGGACGGGGAGCTCCCAGCCGATCCGCTGCCCAAGAAGCAGCTCTTCATGCGACTCTCCGACCCCGGCAGCCCCGTCCTCCTCGCCGACCGCCTCACGGTACAGGACCTCGACGCTCGACCCACGCTTCTGTCTATCCACACCCCCAGCCCCCAACTGATCACTCACCGTCTCACCCTGTTGTGTTGTGTGGTGCCGTGCCCCGCAGAGCATGTGGCTGGACAGGGACACCGCCGCCAAGTGCTACATGCTGTCCGCCAGGAAGCTGGGCATCGTGTGGGGCGATACCCCGCAGTACTGGCGCTGGATCCCTCTCACCGACTCTAGGTCTGCAAAATCAAAACCTCTATTTATCCATTTCTATATCGGCTCGTCGTCAGCAGCTTGATTGTGTTAAAGACTCCTAGGTTCGCTGTTAATCTTTTTTACTAGTAAAGCAGAACCGTACCCCTGTCCATTCTGCTTTCCACATGAACATGACCTTTCAACCTAGCTTTCAGAGCAAAGATTCATGGCCTTTTTTTACTTTGATTCCTGAATGAATACAGCATAATTCACTATTATTGTTGAATGAATGGCGCTTTACATAAACAAATGCACTCTTTATGTACCCTGTCATATGAATTTTATAGGCTCATATATGTAGGGTTATATTGCAAAATCTAATGCCGTGTTTGTGACAGGTTCCCCGAAGGTGCAGAGCTCCTGGACGTTTGCTGGTTGGAAATCCGTGGCAAGATACATTGCAAGATGCTCTCCCAGAACACCACTTACACCGCCTACATGGTGTTCAAGATGTCCGATAGATCCTATGGGCTGGACCAGGATTATCCACCCCAGAGGGCTGAAGTTAGCACCGGGGCAACCAAATCCACTCGTCGGGTTTGCCTCCAAGTCTATGACACCGAGGGCGAGGACCATCGCGTGCCTCCTGTAGTGCACGTACATCACCCTCAGACAAGACCTGATGGCTGGATGGAGATGGAGATGGGTGAGTTCAACAATGAAGAAGGTGAAGATGGCGAGGTGTCCATCAGTCTCACGGGGAGAGGCGGTCACTGGAAGAGAGGTCTTATTGTGCAGGGCATTGAAATCAGGGTGAAGAAATACAGCCACGACCGCCCTCCATCGCGTTGCCTGCCTGCCCAGGCTCGTTCCGCAGGGCCGCTTCCACCCCGCCAGTTCGCCCGCACCACCCGTCCACGTTGCGCTGAAAGCGTATGTTGCAAATATATGTTTCAAGTGTTTTAGATGTTTCATAAGTATGTTGTAAGTGTTTTAAATGGATGTTGTAAAAGTAGATCCGGATGTTGCATTTGTTGTAGTGGCTTGTGACGTATGTTATAAGTGTCTATTCAAAATATTTCATCTACTTCAGACGTATGTTGCAAGTGTTTTATTTTGATGTTGCATATGTTGCAGTGGTTATACACATATGTTGCAAGCGTATGTTCTAAATGTTTTATCTGTTTCAGACGTATGTTGCAGCAAGTGCTTTATGTTGCAAGTGTTTCATGAGCATGCGTGAAAAGCAGGCGCAGTAGTCCCCGCGTGCGCGATACGGAGCGGGTGCAGCGGTCCCCACGTGCGCATAGGAAGCGGAGCGGACGCGGTGCAGTACCCACGTGTATGCGCACGGGAAAAGGAGCGGTGCGGGCGGTCCTCGCCAGTCCCACATACGTGCGGGCGTGTAGCAGGAGCGAGCGTTCATCCAGGCGCTAGTATCTCGCATGATGTATTCCATTATAAAGTCGTGGTCATTTCAGGCTGGGGGTTAGATTTTATTTGGTAAATTCGTTCTCCTTGTTCCAAAGGACACCACTTTGTGTTGGTGGCCACGAATTATTTCACAAAATAGACCCAAGAAGCATCTTTGAAGAATATGATGCACAAAGAGAATTGTATTTATTATTGAAGGAGGCCCTTGTCGTTTCGCTGAAATTTGGCTTATGCTGATTTGTTGTGAGAGAAAAACTATTGTTCGTTAGTTGAAAAGTAGTGCTGAAGAACAGGGCATAATTCATAGATTCAACATACCTTAGTTTTAACTACGGATCAAGGTACTTGTTTTGAAATATTGGTGCATGAATTTTCCAAACGATACAAAATTAAGTTGCTCAATTCATTTCCATAATACACTCAGGTCAATGGTCAATGCACCGTGTCTGTCTATGAGACATGGCCGTCGTTATGCATCGACATTCCTCAAGATGCACTCTTTCCTCGAGCAAGAGGTGATGGCTTGATGGAGGTGGAGGTAGGTGAGTTCCACAACGGTGAAGGCAACGATGTGAGGTTTCCATCAACCCTTATGGAGACGTCAGTCGTGAAACCTGGCCTTATTGTCCTAGGCAACGATGGTGAGGTTTCCATTAGCCTTATGGAGATTTGCAGTGCGTAAGGAGCTCCCTACTTCTTCTCAAGAAATATTTTCCTGCAATAATCTATTTTTTTGTCTTGACTCTCTATAGCATCGCGACATAGCTCCCAGATGAGGGCCCTCGGCTGTCGCCCGTTTCGTCCCGGTGAGGCCTCGCCATGACTGCTCTTTCCATACAATCTTTGGTGCTCCTGGTCCTCCATGTGCCGTCTTTGGTACTCCTCTTCCTCCTCTCATGCTCCCCTCCTCTCACTAGCCTCATAGTCAATTGGAACGATGCATTGTCCACGTGTCATCTCCGGTTTTCCTTCCCCTCCTCTTCCCCCCGGTGCAGTGGGGGTATGACCCCGGTACCCATAAGACAAGACATGGGCCACGCCCCAAAGGTGGCCAGCCCACTAGATCAAGGTGTGCACCGCAAGATTACATGAACATGTGATTTATTGTATAATACCAAATATGATATTTTTCTTGTAACCCTACCCCTCCAGAGTATATAAAGAGAGGCAGGGGTCCCTTTGACGGGATATATCAAATCTGATACACAATCAATACAAAATAAAGAGCACAGGATGTAGTGTGTTACGTCAAGCTGACGGTCTGAACCTGTATAAATCTTGTGTCTTGTGTCTCTGTTACCATCTGGTTCCTGGTCATGCGCACCCCAAATTTTGCCACGGTACAGTGCTAAGCACTCTCCATGTTCTCCAATTTCTCCATTTTCTCCAATTTCTCCATGTTCTACAAATTTCTCCATGTTCTCCAAATTTCGCCATGGTATAGTGTTAAGCACTCCATGTTCTCCAATTTCTCTATGTTCTCCAAATTTCTCCATATTCTCCAAATTTCTCCATGTTCTCTAAATTTCTCCATGTTCTCCAAATTTCGCCACGGTATAGTGCTAAGCACTCTCCATGTTCTTCAATTTCTTCATGTTCTCCAATTTTGCCATGATATAGTGCTAAGCACTCTCCAAAATTCGCCACGGTCAATTGCTAAGTACTCTCTCCATTTTTAAGTGCTCAGCACTCTCTAAATTTTACTCATATGTCCGGTGCTAAGCATTGAGATTTCGTCCTTTATACAAATATGAATAAACTCCAAATAAACATAAACTGCTCTACATGATATAAAATTCACCGATACATTGCTCCTCATAAACTCCGCTCTGTTTTCTTCATCATCGAGTTCATATATTTTTATTTTTAAATCATGTACTACCCGTCCTACATATTTGTATTGCGGGATTATCGCCTGGGTGGTCGCACCATCTGGCCTTTGGATTTATCGGCCAATTAATTGGTCGGACCGCTAGGTTCATGACTTCGTCGTCAACCAGTTGGTCAGACTATTCGATGTTCACTTCTACTCGGCGCTCACTTCGCCGCCGACCAGTTGGTTGGGCTGCTCGGTACTTGATTCTTCGCCAACCAACTGGTCGGATTGTCTGTCGCTTGATCGTCAGTTACGCTGGGGCTCGCCAGCTAAGATGGGGACTTCGTCTGTCGATTCGCCTGTTGGCTTACAATGTTTTGCCGACGCTGCATGTCATGTGTGATATCAAGGTGTTCCATGCTGTCCAAATCAGGGTGCTGATCCTGGACGGCACATCAGGGGTTTTGATAAGTATATCTATCGCAGCAATCCAGTGCTAAGCACTTTCTGTTTTCTCCACGTTTTACTGCTATATTATCAAGTTTTACTCCATATGCCCAATGCTAAGTATGGGGACTTTGTCCTTTACACTTAATTATTTGATCTTGCTACAAGATGTTTTTCTATCTTACAGCAGGCTCGGGGACTAAGTGTGTACACTTCACCGTTTTTTCTTCTTACTAGTTTTTCAGCTAAGCTGGGGACTAGTTGTGTGCTCGGCTAAGCTAGAAATTGGTTGTTTTGACTAAGTGATTGTTGAAATTTTTTGATCCTGACACCAGGTGTCTTCTTCACCTACTATTAGGCTCGGGGACTACAATGTATACATTGCACCTTGCGGCGCATGTATCAATACTAACATCCTCTTTGACTAAGTCATGGATGATGATCATCTGACTTCGCCAACGAAGCCTAAGTGTGTACACTTCACCTAAGGTCGATGTCTCCGGCAAGCTCCGCCGCCATTTTCTCCGCCGATCAGCTGGTCAGACCACTAGGTGAATGGACTTCGTCGCCGACCAGTTAGTCGGACTGTTCAGTTTTTACTTCTACTCGGCGCTCACTTCATCGCCGACCAGTTGGTTGGGCTACTCGGTGCTCGATGCTTCACCAACCAACTAGGTCGGATTGTCCGTCGCTTCATCGTCAGCCACACTGGGGGTTCGCCAGCTAAGCTGGGGACTCCTCGGCGTTTGGATTTTTTGTGCAAGCATCACCAGCTAAGTTGAGGACTCAGCGTTCGGATTCTTCGTGCAAGAATCGTCGGCTAAGCTTGGGACTCTCTTGGTGGTCGGATCTTGCTATGTCTCATCGGTGTGCTATCAGCTTGCTCCATGTTGTTCGGATCAGGGTACTGATCTTGGGCAGCACGTCTGGGTCTTGATACGCACATGTCAAATGATGTCGACAAGCTTTTAGATTTATTTATTTTGATACTGCTATAAGATTCATTCTTTATCTTCCAGCAGGCTTAGGGACTAAGTGACTATACTTCACCTAGCGGTGAATGTAGTGCTCTTTTTTGATTTACCCTCCTTATTGACTAAATCATGGATGATTCCTCGCAAACGGAGTCTAAGTGGCTACACTTCGCCTAAGGTGGAGAATTTTTAAATTTTTATCTTGAGCCCCTTACATCCTTCTGGTAAGCCTTACTTGGCTAAGTCCGAGATCTGCGTACCAATTAAACCGGTCGGCTTCGACTTTCACCGCTCAGTTCACCAGTTAAACTGGTCGGCTTCGACTTCTACCGCTCAATTCACCAGTTAAATTGGTTGGCTTTGACTTTCACCGCTCGGATCATCGATTAAACTGATCGGCTTCACGTCAAATCGCTCGAACTTGTTCAAGACAGCGTTGCTCAAAGGATACAAGGCGCTCAGGGACTAGCTGTGGGGGTACGGCCCCCGATACCCACAAGACAAGATATGGGCTACGCCCCAAAGGTGGCACAGCCCACAAGATCAAGGCATGCACCACAAGACTACATGAAGATGTGATTTATTGTATAATACCAAATATGATATTTTTCTTATAACCCTACCCTGTCCAGAGTATATAAGGAGAGACAGGGGTCCTCTAGACGGGATATATCGAATTTGATACACAATCAATACAAAATAACAGAGCACAGGATGTAGGGTGTTACGTCAAGCTGACGGTCTGAACCTGTATAAATCTTGTGTCTTGTGTTTCTATTACCATCCAGTTTCTGATCACGCGCACCCCCACCGATCATTTACCGGCTCCGTTCGCGTGTCCTTAAACCCGACTTGATCCGCTTGTTTTTTCATCCGGAACATCCGGAACCCATTGCCTGAACCAGTATAAACCTTGTGTCTTCTTGCATCACCATCCGGGATAGGGGCACGCAGCACAAATTTACTAGTTGGTTGAGGACCCTCCGGTCCAAAACACCGACAGTTGGCGCGCCAGGTAGGGGCACGCTGCGTGTTAACTCAATCATCCCAACAGGTTCCGGATGGCAGACCCTGTACGACCACTCCGTCTCGCCATGGTGATCTAGTTTGGGAGCCTAGAGTTCATGTCTCTAGGATGTGAGTACGATATGGTACTCCTCACGCCTAGAGCCCCGTTGGCCGACAACGACATGACGCACCAGCAACCCAGGCGCAGGCGGTGCCCGGACCGCAGCTCTCGTCGCGCTCACCAGGCACGGCGCGAGCGGGACCACCCTGACACCGCACGAGCTCAGGGCAACGCGCCGCGCTCCGCCGCTATCCCGTGCCCGGCTGCTGGTACAGAGTCCCTGGTTGGGGACCTGTCTAGCTTAGGCCTGGGCAGAGGAAGGACGCCGGTGGTGTGCAGCAACACCCCGTCATCAAGCTCTGCCCCACCACCTCCTGAGGAGCCAACTCTGGCGGAGCAGGGCCCGGCGATGGCACCATCCCCGTACCTCTTCGGGTTGAGAAATGTTGCTGCCACCTTCGCTTCCGCCTACGCTTCCACTCACGCGGAGCCCTCAGGACGCCACCAACGTTTTGCCCTCGACCTCTTCGCCACAACCTCAACCCACACCCACGCTGACTCCTCGAAGGAGGATGAGGTGTGGGCCAGAGCGGACTTCTTTGGGCTTCGCAACCCTAAGGCTATGCGCTGCTTCTTGGGCACGAGCGACTACTGTTTCGGCTACTCTGACTCTGACGACGAAGGCACTTACAATCCCACTCGAGAGTGCTTCCACATCAGGCTCGGGATGCCGAACTCCCGTCGGTCATCTGGAGCCTAAGGAACACTCCGAGCCGAGCCACGGGGTTCACGCCGTTCTTCCTGGTCTATGGAGTCGAGGCCATCCTCCCCACTGACTTGGAGTACGGTTCCCCAAGACTACAAGCCTACAATGAGCAAAGAAACCGCACAACCCGTGAGGACGCCCTCGACCAACTAGAGGAAGCCCGGGACGTCGTGCTGCTACATTCAGCCAACTACCAGCAATCCCTACGACGCTATCAGGCCTGGCGCATTCGCAACCGAGACCTGTAGGTAGGCGACCTGGTGCTGAGGCTGAGGCAGAGCAACAAGGTCCGCCACAAGCTGACCCCGTTGTGGGAAGGGCCGTACATCGTCACCCAAGTGCTAAAGCCCGGGACCTACAAGCTGACCAACGAGAAGGGTGAAATCTTCACCAAAGCTTGGAACATAGAACAGCTACGTCGTTTTTACCCTTAAACTTCTAAGCATTTTACACATTATTTCTTGAAATATATTAAAGAAGCGTTCTTTAGTTGTTCTTATTTTTCGAGAAACCCCCCGAGCCCATCGATGGGGGATTGGCGGTATGATAACGCTATAAGCGAGACCCGGCTCTGCCTCTGCAGAACCGAGCCTCCCTCGGGGGCTAGAAG